GAGCCCCAGCACCCTAATGAGCTCAGAGCTTTGCTCCCCCACAAGCTCTCGCCGCACGTGCTCCGAGCTCGCCGCAGCTGTTACTGCACCTCGGTGCTGCGCAAAAGCGCCGGAAAAGCGTCCGGGACGCAGCCGCTTCCCCAGCCGGCACCACGTGGCCCTTGTGGTTTCCCGTGGTGAGGAGACGTGAGCGCGGGCGCCAAGCGCAGCGCGTCGGCRCGCAGGGCCCCGGGCAGGGTTGGGGCTGGCGTGTGCCGGGAGGCTTCGCAYGGCATTGCACATTGCGGCTCCAAAGCCCTTCTGCAAAGGCCAGGCTCCTTCCTGGTTGTGGTTGGGCTGCACAAAGGTGGGAAATGTGGATAATCAAAGGGTGGAGAGGGCAGCTGCTGCAGCTGCAGGGTGCCGCTCGGTTCGGGCTGTGCTGGAAGGGCGCTTGGTGGCCCTCTTGGCTGCACCGAGGTTTCCCCTTCCCAACTCACAGCGCCAGCAGTGTGAAGGAGCAAAGAGGACATCAGATTGTTTCCTCAGCTGCCCCAAGACACTAAGTTCTTCACTTTAGCCTCCTGGAACTACATGAGCTGTTTCTGTCAGCAGCGGCTTTTAATAAGAGATGGTGAAAGGGGAGTTGTTACCCTTATGTTCTTAATGTGCCTTTGAGCCCCAAGCGCCGGTATCGTCGCCCCGCCAGCCGCAGCAGAGCACGAGTGGTCGCCTGAGATAGATGGGCCCCGGCGTCCTGCAGCGCCGGGAGCCCCCGTGCGCCGCCCCTTATCTGGTCCAGAAGTGGCACCTGCGGGAGCTGCAGATACGTGAGTGTTTGTCACCTCCAGTGCCACCCGCATCCGGGTAGAGATGACACCCCGCTGGGGAGGAAGCACTGCAGCCTGCCTGGAAACGGTGCTCGTCCTCCTTGATGGGCCTTTGGCTTTGGGGACAAGCTGGAGACTTCCAAACCCTGCTTCTTTTTTCACTTGTTTCTGAGATGCAGAGATGCTTTTGACGGACCAGCAGTGCTGACAGATGTCCCTGGCCGTTTATGCACCGCTGGGCTTGCGTTTTCCCCCGGGTCCTGATGTAAATGCTCAGTGAAAAGGCGAATGTCTCGTGGGCCGGTGGGTGCTGGGGCTGCAGTCACCCCGGCCCTGCCGCACTGGCCTTCGCCGGGTCTCGCCGGGTCTCGCCGGGTCTCGCCGGGGCCTCGCTGCCGCCTGCGGCTCCCCCTGCTCCCAGACCCCTCCGGTGGCTCCGCTCCCAACCTCAGAAGCCCTCAGCTTCTTCAGGAGAGGCGCAAGCCCAGGGCTGGAGCGGAGGGTCAGAGCAGGTGGAGGGGGAGAAGCGGCCGAGTCCTGCCAGGTTCATGGGGACGTCAATGCACAGAGTGAAAYGAAGCAGCCGTTGGGATCGGGAGCTGCCACTTGGATGCCGAGTCTGTTTCCATCCGAAAAAGCTCCGGTTGCCGCTACATAAAAAGAGGGCAGTGTTTTCCCAAAGCAAGGAGGCCTCCGCGCGCTGCTGAAGGAGGATTTATCGGCATCGTGCTGCCAAGGCGCCCGTCATTCCCACGAAAACTCCCTTTTCTTCCCTGCGCCTTTGCAAGTTGCTTCGGTGCCAGAAAGCCGGCGTTTCCTCCCAAGCATGGTCACAGCCAGCATTTGCATCTCGACGTCTCTTCTAATGGCCCRCTTGTTAAAAATAAGTAATTTTATTTCCCAGAAGATGCCCGGCARGCACATCCATCACTTTGTCCTAATTGACTCTACTTTTGTGAGCCTTGGCGGCCAAACCTGCCAGGAGAAGCTCAAGGGGGGGATGATCCGAGCGGCGGAGCGCTTGGTGCGTGGGGTTGCATTAGCACTGGTGCCRTGTAGATGTCCTGCTAATTGTGCATCCCTGGATGGTAGGAGATTCCAGGAAGAACATTAAAGGCTTCACAAAACTAGAGGCTAACGCTTGGAGCATGTTTTCATACACTCAAGATGGATATAGTCATAGCTGGAAGTTTCTTAAATATTCCTCTAAGCCCTGCAGAAGACCCGGAGATCGTTCTTAGGCAATTAATAAATTCAGGAACACTCCTAAGTACTTAACGGTTTGCCAGGATTCCGGGACTCGGAGCGAGGGTGGTGAACAGGCAGGCGGGATCTTCCCGTGTTTGCGGTCGCGTAGGGCAAACCTTCCTCCTCTGGTTTCTCCCCGAGAGCCTTGTCGTGAGTGACCCATCCCACTGGCATGGAGCAGTGGAAGAGCAGCGTGCCAGGCTGCTGAGGAACGTGCCATGGAAACCCCTTCAGTCAAGGCACATCCTGGATGCGAGATTTCGCTCCACCTTTGCTTCCATCAACGTCTTGTTTAGCTTGAGCACCCTGACCCCTTCTGAGAGTGCATTGCCCTGGCCCATAACAGTCCATATTGCTGGATTTCCAGGAGAGCGGCTGGGCCATCCCCATTTTGGACGGTTCACAGCCTCTTTAGGATCTGAATTCTGCAGGAGCTTGGGAAGTTGTGTCATCGGGTAARGTCTGGTTGTGTCGGGGAGGTTTGGACAGTGTTTGGCTGCGGGTTACTGGCTCCTGCAGATGCTGTTTCTGCCTTGCAGTCCAGAAATGAACCGTCTAACTCGTGGGCAGCCAACATCTGCCATCGCGCCCTTGGCCACTGTGCCAGCAGGTGTGACGCTGATGTGGTCGATGGGCTGGAAACCAAGCTGATGTCTCCTCCAACCTCTTCCTTCCTGGCTGCCAAGCTCACCCAGGAGCAGCGTCCAAGAGACCTGGGGTCCTGGCAGATGGAGCTGCTGGTGGAGCTGGTGGGAGCGCTCAAGGTTGTGTTGTCTATCCATGAAGGCCAAGGGGCTTTCAAAGGGGGTRGGTCCCTCATGCTGTTCCAGAGATGTCCTGCTTCCCAGGAAAAAGGTTTTGAGGCTGAAGCCTCTTCTCGTGTGGAAAAATAAGGTAATGTGTGATCAAGAGTAGATGGATATTGTCGTGATGGGATCTGGGGAGGAAGCAGAGCCCAATGTAAAGGGAACAGCTAGAGGCAGAGAAGATCAGTGCATCTCCAAGAGAAGTGTCTTCTCCGGAGCCCAGCATCCCAGAGCAGTGTTGACCTCACGTCCCTGTGGACCCACACAGACCTCCTGGAGCTCCTGCAGAAGCAGCAGGAGCTGAGCCCTCACCAGATTTAGCTTCGCACTTAAGGTCGCTCAGCCTGGAGAAGCTCAAAGTGGGTCACGGCCCTTCTAATTCCCAGGCTTGGGTGCTGCTGGTGGCCCAGATGCCAATTAATGAGATCCCCGTTGCGTGCCCGGCGCCGGCTTAGGGCAGCGCACGAGGGTCAGCAGAGTTCGGCCCTCAGCGGCTACGAAACCCGTCTATCTCCTTACCTATAATTTGACACGGGCTGTGAAGGGAAGTTCTTAGCACGGTCCCCACTGCAGGCGCCTCCGCGAGCGCGTGACGGCGGGGACCTCAGCGAGCCCCGCCGTGCGTGCGCTCCTCCTGCTAAGACGCGGTAAAAATAGCCACCTAAGTAGAGATTTTAGCCTCAAGCAACCGAGGCGACAGTAAACGAGCATTAAATACCCAGGGCAACGTGAGGACTGGGTTATCAATGACCCTCCAAGCAAACAAGCAGTGATTTTCTGTTCTTTTTTTGAGCAGGAAACATCTCAACTGTATGGGAGCCACCTAAAAATGGGGCTTGCAGGTGACACAGTGAAAATGAAGGGTGTCCTACATGAGCATCTCACAGTGTTCGCCTCGGTGTGGTCTAGCTACCAGGAGCTGAGGTGGTGTCTGGACACTAAACACAGCAGATGTGGTCTAGAGATAGTGCCCACCTGCCCTGGTGCCCTCACACGTTGGGTGAGGTGGATGAGTTGATGACACCAAGTCTTTAGACCACTGATATTATCCTAAGAAATGCTGGAAGATGAGCAGGAATTTCAACTGCAGGGGAAGTCTCAGTAGGGATTTCCTCAAGGCCAAAGCGTTGGTCAGGTCTTCCCGCTTCCCTGAGGCTGAGGTGACTCCCAGAGACAGCATCTCAGAAAGCAGAAAAGAAAGAGAAAGCATCTTGGGCTCGAGAAAATCCATGACTACCCCATATCAAAGGGAGTAGCAGGAGGTTCTGTGCGTTGCTGCAACAGAAGTCCCTCACAGTGCAAAATAGTGSTTTTTTTTCATGGTCTTTAGCCAGAGGGGACGTTCTCTTGTCCATCACTGCCAGAGCAGGAGTCCGGCCCACTGGACGGGCTCAGCTGGGGGTGACCAACCAGGTGTGGCCAAAGGGTTTGGACATGGGAAGTCTCTGAGATCCCAGAGGTGCTGCTTCTGGAGGTGCTTGGCTCCCCATTAGAGGCCCTGGCAGGACCTGMCTGAGGAGGTCACCTCGGGGGGGACGTGGTTTGGGCCAGGGCTGGTGGCAGCATCGTCCCTGGGCCACACAGGGCCCGTCCCTCGTGCTCCGGCATCCAGCACCAACGGCAGGAGCCTGAGCTTTGACCTCCGGATGATTCTTCTCCTCCAGGCCCACAGCCTTCCAGGAGGAACCTTTCCTGTTTCGTTTTCCCCTTTCCTCTTTTGCCTTTTCCTTCTTTCTTTTTCCTTGCCCCTTTCCACTTCTCTCTCTTCCCTTTTCCCTTTTTTTTCCCCTTTCCTTTTCCATTTTTTTGCCTTGGGGACATTTTCCTTCCCACCCAGGAATCACTTTTAGCATTGAAGCCAGACGGAGACAGGCGGCAGCTGCTCTGCACTCCTGTCTGTCCATCCGTCCATCCCTCCATCCATCCCGCCATCCCTCCACAGAGAGAATCCTTCAGCACAGCACAAGCGGAGTAACTCCCTGGGGTTTCGGAGCTGTTGCCTCTGCATCCCGCGGAAACCTTTGCCCTTRCTCCAAATGTGGGGATTCAAGCGGGGTTTTGCACCGGGGCTTGTTAACCGCTCGGCTCTGCCTTCACTTGCGCTCCCGCTAACGGCTGTTCCCGCTTCYTCCCGCAGCGAGAGGCGCTCGCTGCCCGTCGCCGTCACCAACCCGGTGCAGTGCAGCCTGCACGGGCGCAAGTGCACGGTCGCCGTGGAGACGCGCGGGGAGCAGGCGCAGCCGCACTTCAGCCGCCAGCGCTCCGGCTTCGTCCTCTGCGTGCCGGGCAACTAGCGGCCGCGCTCGGGCGCCCGGCCGCGCGGCCGCCCGGCCCCGTTCGCCCAGCTTTCCAWATTGTCCGTATCGGTGGTTTGTTTTTAATACCGCACGCGGCTCCGGCTTAAAATAACCCCGGCTCTGTATCRGTCTGGCGGAACAGGTCGGGATATGAGGAAGCGGAATTAGTCCCAACGCGGCCCCTTGCCTGCTCCGATGGCTCAGGCCCCTCTCTGCGATGCCGGAAAGTGGGAGCCGGCTCCYGCCCGGCGAATCCCTCGGGATACGTGAGCTCCTTGGGGAGGAGGCCGGGAGATCTGTCATGGCAGTGGCACCTCAGTGTGTCCTTGTCCCCCCCAGAACGTGCTGCTTTGGAGCCCGGTGTCACTGCCACCGCCCAACCCCTCCTTGCGCCACCGAGACCCTCCCCGGTGCCGCGTTTCTCCTCAGATATTCCCAGCTGGATGGTCATGGCCAAAAGCGCCGTGGGCCTGATGGTCGGCCGTGACAGGAGGGGCCCTCCCAAGCCTGTTTTGGATTAGTGGTACTGGAACAGGGGGCTATTTATACGTATATATATCCATATATATATCTATATGGATATATACACATCCATAAATATATATATATATTTATATATATATAAAATGTATACACGTATATAACAAAAAGAGGTATACATTATATACATTTTATATATATGTATATATGATGTGTTCTGGCACTGCTGGTCAGGTCAGGATCTCCAGCCCACCAGCTGTGACCCAGCCCGGCTGTCCCCTCCTGTGGCAGCTCCCCGGCCTCCTCCCGGCTCCAGCCGGACCCTCGGTGACCACRGAGCCGAGGACACCAAAGCCCCCCAGCCCTGGCCCCCCGGGCGCGCTGAGACCCCCCAACTCGGTGCACGGCAGCGCCCGGCCCATGGCCCACCCAGCGCCTGCAAGGAGGGTCCTAACACTAACGGTGACAACGTTGTCCCTGATGACACGTGTCTTTAGGAAATAGAATATCCGGGCCCACTTTGATTTTATAGATATACATATATATATATATATATATATATAAAATATATATATTCCTGTTTTGTCTTTTGCCATAAATTAACTGTTTCTAAAATGTTTTGATTTTAAGCCCGGGGCAATAATGCAATGAACTGTTGTAGGGTTTTTTAAGATGTAATTCATATTTTAATGGGTAAAAAAGCCCAGAAAAAAAAACCTCCTCTTCCGGACCTGGCTCTCGTTTACATCTCCCCTATAGCACTAAAACACCCTGTAGCTGCAGCCCCCCGCCCCGCTCTCGACATGGTGCCGTTATCACCCATAAAACATCCTGCCCCTATCCCAGCGCTGCGGCCCTTATCCCGGCAAATCCCAGTTCCCSATGGCTCCAGGGCTGCAGAAAGGACTCGGGCTGCAGCCACTTTTCYGTGTAATGGATGGTCAGTGCATTTTTATTTAATCGGCACAGTACAAAAATAAATAAAAATAAGGGAGGGGGGATTAAATTACAGGCACACTGAGCCCCATGACACAGTCGGTCAGGTTATAAACCACACATACGTACAAACGCACTATACACATACATACAGAAAAAAAATGAGACAAATATAAATTAATCAGTAACAATATCCACCAATTTGGTCAACAAAGAGCTACGGAAGAGATTGCACTAAAAAAAATAAAAAAAAAAATAACGTACGCACACGTGTATAATTAGCAGGTTCCAATGTACAGCAATGAAGAGCTTCAAGTGAAAAATAAAAGATAGAATTAAATAATAATAATAATAATAATAATAATAATAAATGGCACATTATTTCTCCCTCTCGTTTGCAAGTTCTTTTTTTTTCTCTGAACGACGGATGGCCCAGAACTAAACTAAGATCTGTGCACACGAAGGAAAGAAAAAAATAAAACAGAATACAAAATAACCCCCTTATCGGTCGCCAGGCCTGATAAGGAAACACCAGCTCAGGACTGCGGCACCGGGGTGGTGACGGGGCTTTGTGCATGGGTGT